CGAAGTCTCTACGTGATAGAATCCGACACGACGGTATCGCCATCAGAAAAACAAATTAATAGTCAGCTATGACTAGCCAAATCAGCATGGTGATTGGTCAGTCATATTTTTTTATAGGATAGGGTGACAAGGGTGAGAGTCGTGGTAGCACAGAAATGAGAGGAGGCTTATGCCCAGCAAGTGGGACGTATATAGGCTGCAACTTTACTTTAGGGTGACAAACGAGCATACAGTCCACCTGATTGTAAGCGGTTGTTGTGGCCCATAGACATTTACATCTATCATCGTTTGCGAATCAAAATGCAGAGCATTGTCACCCGTGAGGACTAAGATGGTATTCTACTTTTGCAGTAAAAATGGTCTCCGGTTCTTTACACTCACCATACGAAACACAACAGTGTTAAGCTGCTATTTTACGCCGGTATTCTGTGCGAGCGTGGTCCTTACCCAGTCGAGGCGACCCATTCGTGCTACAACTATACTACTAATGTAGCGGCATCATGACTGTAGCAGGTATATATAATAATAGTTCGAAGAACTGATAATTGAGGGCAAATAAAGTATCTCGAGGAAATACTTCATCGTAATGGATTGTAAGGCAGCTCCCCGCTAAATAGAGTTAAAGTCGATTGGATAAGGCCCCGGATGTAGGAAGTCGATGAATGCGGATGACTTAAGACCGATATTTTTCACCTTCTTTGGGGGAGACCTGTATTCAGCTGTGGTCTATAATGGGAATATTCATCTCATGCTTTTTTCGCAATAAACTCACAAAATTCAGTAAATCTTCATTGGAGATAAATAAATCGCTTCCATTCAATTGCAAATAGCTTCACAAGAGCGCCCGAAGATCGGTGCAGGTGCATCTCTCAATCTGTTACCGTCGTTTAGAATACAACTCAAAAACTAAATATATTGTGTTAAACTTATTTCAGTTGCTTGAAATTTAAAACATATTACCAAATTAAATTTTCGTGCTTAACTTAAGATTAGCTTGTATTTTTTAAATTGTGTAATTTTGAAATTTATTTATGATAACTAAAATGTTACTAAGGAAGGTAAAATAAAGTATGAAATTGATTTTAACAAGACGCCGAAAGTCCTTTATATAAAATACAAGACAGTTAAACTGTAAGGATGTTAAAAGAACTTCTAATCAGTCATTAGGGTTTCATTACCAAAGAAAAACTTTTTTTTTTGGTAATGAAACCCTAATTTTTCATTATTAACCCCCAAACGGGTTCCCGCTTTGTCGTTGTGGGGCTTAGTAGTCGTGGCTTGGACCCCCGCGGTGAACTAAAAATACCGCCACTGGTCCGAGATGTAGGGCCGGCCGAAGGTGGCCACTTCGGGCGGCTTAGCGAGACCACTTCGGATATGTGTTGGTGGGTTGCGGCGAGAAGGGTGTCCTCCCCCCTACCGCTGCAGCCTAGGTGGAGTCGTGGAAGAAGAGGAGTGTTGGTATTGCGAGGCGCCGCTCTCCCTAGCCTCCGCAGCCGAATCTTGGTTGACAGCGGAGCCATAGACCCGATCACCCGCTGGGATCAGGAAAGCTAGTGCTCTTGAGTGCTCGTTTTTCTTGGCCCCATGGCTTTCGCGCATCAGACACGTGGGCGTACGTTGCACAGGTGAAGTCGGAGGCCACGAAGGAGGGCGCGCCATGTGTTCTGGTGCGCCTTAATTAAGAAGGAGGTGGGGGAGGAGTGGTTCTCTCCAGAGAAGAGGCCGCTATAGGGCGGCCAGCGCTGGTGGAGCCGCGGATGTGTGCGAAAGCGATCCCATGGCCCAGCCAATATGCGACGAAGGTGGAACATCATGGGGTTTTAGTCAGTGACATAACCCGTCCTTAAGTAAATGCCTACGCGGGTATACGTGGGCATTTACCCATGTAAAACAAAAAAAGGGTTTCATTACCAGTGCGAGTTATTCTTAGAATTTGTCAGAAAAAAAAACTATTGACTATTTAATATTTTAGTTTCCCTCTATCGCGTCTTATGACACCCATATTTTCCTCCTAAGGAGAAGTCTAATATCCAGCAAGAGACTCTTTGCGGGATGAAGAAGAGAAGTAGGATATGTAGTATAACGAGGATGATGATGTCATGTTGAGACGAATAGGGTATGAAGCATGTATTTACATTGCGACACAAAATCTTAAGAAAATACTATCATACTTACTATAGTATATTGATTCTTTTGCTTTAAATCAATGCAAATGGAAACAGCAACGCCAATTAAAAAGGAATCGACACTAAGCGAGGTGTTTTATCAAACATTAGTCGTAATTGTGTTATTCATGATTTGTATCCCCTGGAGCGCCTCCACAGTCATTTGAAAAGTTAATCAGCTAAAAGCCCTGCTTCCTGGATTAAGAAACCAGTTAATTTATTGCGGAGTGAAGACAATTTTTTCCTCTGTTTTGCGCCTTAATTAAAATTGCGATGTCTGTTCTTGGGGGGAATATTCGATTAAATTTCGAGTCGGCCTTATGGAAGGGTGAAATTAATTTTAATGTTGGTTACTTTAGCCGCAATTAAGAGAAGCTCATTAATCAATCTTTAAGCTTTAATTGATTGGAGTAATTATTTTATCTCTAATAATACTAAAAAAAATTGGGTTTCGTAGATTTAATGAAGAATTTATAAATTGTGTAACAATTTTGCAAATAATGGAATTGTATTTAATATTAAAACTTAAACCGTTTCTAAGACATATCTAATATTAATAACTAAACATAATAATAATAACTAAAGCAAATTATATAGCCCTATAAAGAAATCTATGGGGAAGGCCTATATACAGCAGTGGACTTTTGATAATCTATAATGAATTAATTAATGCTTGGCATTTTGGCACGATACCGCAGGGAGTAGGACTGTATGATAATTAAGTTACTATTTTTAGTTTTTTTTTTATTATAATTTTTAACGTTGTATATAATAAAATACTGTATGTTAATGCTTCAACACATATCTTTTTTAGAACTTCGTATTTTTGTACACTCGACCACTCGACATATTATATTTAAGTTTAATTTTGTTCTGGATTTTTTACTTGTACTGTATGGTAAGAACTCGAATTCCGATCGCGTTTATCTTCCTTTCTTCAAAACGGTTTCCAAAGTACTTTACTTACTTTACCCACGACTTCTTATGTCTTGTTTCACGTAAAAAGTCGTGGACACAGCTTGTTTGCAATAAATCTCAAAATAAAACACAAATAAAATTCTGATTTAAAATTCAAGTAGGTATATAAAGTAAATAAACTTGTAGGTTTCATTAAATATTAATATTTTTACACTGTTCTTGTAACAGCAAAAATCTTTTTACCAACCAACTAACTTTAAAACATAAAACTTATTAAAAAAAATATAAAACAAAGGAAAAATGAAACTAGTTTTTAAAATTTTTTGAAGAAAAACCTTTGACATAAATGCATGTCTATTGTCTATTGTCTAAAATAATTATAACTTTTAACAAAAAGTAAAAACCGACATCAAATTGCTAAGAAGTTGTTTATTTGCTATCCTTAGGAGTGCAATTTTATGTATAATAATCCAAATTTATGTAGAACCAATCTCGAAATATAATCTATTTAATATAAAAAGAATCATTAATATCGGTTTTCAATCTGCAAAGATTTGATATGAAATTTTTTAAACAATAGTCAAATATGAAACTTTTTGCCCTACTCTCCACCCTTGGGGCCAGAAGTTTTGCTTCAAAGTTTAATGAGACCACCCTTGAGGTAAAGCCAATTTAATGAAGAAAAAATCATTAATATTGGTTCACAATCTGCGAAGATATCGCTACATACAAATTTAAAAAAAACCATACACACGAATTGAGAACCACCTCCATTTTGAAGTCGGTTAAAAAATTGTGAGGAACGTTTGCAGTAACTGCAGCCAATTAAGCTTGGAGCAATTCTAAACCTAGTGTCTATTTCATTTGGTAAATCTTTTTAAACCAAGATTGTATTAACAAACACGTAGTTAAACATTTACAACTAGCAAAAGTTGGAATAATATTAATACTTGTTGTTATTAATATCTCACGACCCGCCCCAGCTTAGCCTGAATAGGATCTATTAATATGTATATCGTTATTGAAATTTAAGATCACAAAAAAATTAAATAAAATCTTCACGTTTATTGGATAAATTATAGTCTACATTCCCTCTGGCACTGATTTCTATCTGTTCGTAATGTTTTATTGCAATCGATTTCGCCATTCCAATGATAAGCCGGAAAGACAGACGATTATTGATGTTTTAGTAGTGTGATTTAATTAGAAGCTAATCTAAATATAAGCCAGTTATTTCAAAAGACAGACACTTCAATTTTATTTATTTAGTAGTACAGATAATAATATCCGGTAATCCGGTTGTTTGGCACTTTCTAACGCTGGGTGTTTGCACAGACACAACTTAGTAACTAGGAACCTACACTAGGAGCCCGCTCTGAAGTACGGTTTCATTTGTCATTACTGCCGTACTATAAGTACTCGCCAAATCTCGTTTACGTAAAATTTGAATTACGCGAACCGGCCACGGTGAACTGCGTCAAAGGCGTATGACGGTCACACGATGCGATCGCCAACCCAAGTGTCACGCGTGAAGATTAAAGTAGGCAATTAAGACAAATCTTCTCCAAAATTAGAGTGGCCAATGCCCAGCAATTGAAAGGAAGAAGATATACAACATTAGGTATGTCTATATATGTGTATTAATTTTTTTTTGTATATTTTCCGTTCAATAAACATACGTATACGTTTCATTCACCAATATAATTATTATAAATGTTTCACAAGTTTTGTGACTCATGTCATTATTGAACCACGTTTTTGATTTCGGTTAATCAAAAAGTCTGACTGGTAAAAAATGCTTAGATTGTTAAGTCCACCCATTTTACCTTTATATACGGTCAATATATATCTTACAGGAATGGAAAATATCTTATGTGCATAATATATTTCAATATATCTACTCGTAGTACTCACCAGCAATCCAAATAAGAAGGATGACACCCGTCACTTTTTTAAACAGGTTTACACGCACTGTCCCCATTTTTTTTTTTCAAATTACACTCGATCCTTCTTCACTCACACATTTTTTGTTCAATCACTTTTGAAAAACTGGCTACTTCGTTCCATTTCACAGTCTTTTATCCTACGAATGTAGGAGAATACTGTTTACACGCATCTCAGTTGATAAGGGATCCCTGTTATGGCACCTGTAACAAAGGAAACAATTTTTAGAGGGATATAAAAGGGTCCATCTTTCGAACGATGGAAGTCGTATAGTAACGTCGTTATCAAACACACACATGCACGAATTTCCTATTAATAATCTAACGTATTATTTTGATAACATTTATATAGTTATTTTATACGTGGTAGGGTCATGATGTAGCTATATTATGGTTGTGGCACGAATGGCTTGGCTCTACCGGGGAAGGACCACGCTCACGCAAAATACCAACGTGAACTAGCAGCCTAAAGCTACTGTGTTTTGCATGGTGAGTGTAGAGAATCGGTGACCCTTTTTACTGAAAACGTAACATTCCATCTTAGTACTCAGGGATGACAACGCATCTGCATCTTGATTCTCAATCAAGGATAGACGTAGATTACTTCGGGCCAGATAATCCGCTTCTACCACCAGGTTTTACTGTACTTGTTTATCATCGTTATTCTGTATAAAAAGTTAGTTTATAACGGACTATGTTCTTATTTAGTAATATTATTTTTAAGTCACGATTAACATGTAGGAAGTAGCTTGATCCAGATAGCTCAGGACCTTGTTTAATAGTAGTTTATGAGAGAAGCTTATTTTCAGCTGTTGATGTCTTGGATTAATAATGATGTACCAGAAAAAGCATAACTATGTGACCTACGCTAATGATATTCTGTTGTTTCTATTTTATTAAATATTGCACTTTAATTTCATCTGTGTGATTCTGATTATAATAGTTTATATTATGTCAAGATATTATTCATGTAAATTTCTTTGAAATGCAAAAATAAACAAATACTAAAAAAACATCTTCCTGAAACAAAATAATAAAAACTGCAGTTACCAACCAACCTGTCAAACCATAGACTGAAATATGGGAGATTGAGATATGATACGGTATGATTCCAATAAAAGAGGCCTTTGTTTTGGATGACTTTGATAGGTTATAACGATGGTGATGTTTTGTCATGTTATTGACCAAAAGATTAAAGTTTAATTGTAAGATTATACCAAATGTAAAGCTTTCCCTCTAAGTTTTTCAAATTTATTTTAAGCTTGTAATTTTATATATCTAGATACTTAAAACAATAAATGTCCCAAAAACATACAATAACAACAACCCAATATATTCCGCATAAAACGACCAGTCTCCGGTATATATGAAGATATAATTATTTTCACTAATTGACAAATGAACTATCAGTCCACCTGATGGTAAGTGGCTATTGTCCATGAACAACTGGATCCAACTTTAAACAAAGTAGGCTAGAGATGGCATGTCACTTCCGAAGGCTAAGATGAAGTGCCTCACAGCCTGTACTTGTACTGGCTTTCTATGCTTTTCAGAACGGAAAACAGCAGTGACAGCACTGTTATTTGGTTATTCATATCTACCCGGACGGGTACATAGACTATAAAAGTTTCCTACCATCTAGTAAAACGATACCAGATAAAAACAAAATTTTTTTTCGTTTAGACCAGATTACCCACTGTTGGACTATCCAACTACCAAATAAGGAATAAGCCATTAGTAACATATTTTAGTGCCGTGGAGTGGCGGTGTAAGAATGTCTCCTATCACATACGAGTATGTTCCCGTTGGTGTCATAAGAGGTAACAGGAAATGGGCTGCAGCATCTTTCTGATAACAGCAATATTACAATAAAAAACTACGTTTACCAACCCGCTTGCCGGGCGTGACATCTATGGCAAACATCTCCCCATTCCTTGGGGGAGGCCTATGTTCATTGTTCAGCATTGAACTTGTGAAGGGCTTGTTTAATGATGATGATGATGAACATGCATCATATATTATGATTCAATACGTTTTATTTTTCGATTAGTCAAGCACGAAATACAGAAAAAAATTATAAAAAGGAAATATACAAAATCGAATCTTTAGGTGGGGAAAAAAATTGTCAGTCTTTTCTTAGCGATTTATTTATGCGAGGTAATGTGTTGACGCGCGAACCCGTGAATGATCAATTGCTCCCTGTGACATGGCGAAACTAGCCCAGAGTAAGTGAAATAAAAAGTTAATAATTTTTCTATGAAAGAAGAATTCATGATGTTCTTGGCAATTTGCCATGTTGACGGACTACTGCTGCCCACTTTTTTATTATAAAACTATCCAAAATCTTGATTACTCAGAATATTAAATAATAGTCAACACAAGGTTATGAGTGTTAAGGTGTAGTTAAGGTTGGGCAATATCAGCTGAATTGAACAATATGGTTACATAATATTGATATTTCGCAGGTATTCATTATTCATTAATTCGTTACAGCTCACCAAAAGTCCACTAACCAGCCTTTATAGTTTTTTTTTTACAGAATAGTGTTGACAAACGAGCAATTTATTTTTTACAGAATAATGTTGACAAACGAGCAAACAGTCTACCTGATGATAAGTGGATGCTGTAGCCCATTGTCTAATCTACATTTATCTTCGATTAAAATTTAAAATGCAGATGCGTTGTCACCCCTGAGGACTAAGATGGAATGCCTCGTTTCCAGTAAAAAGGGTCTCCGGTTATCTACACTCACCACGAAACACAACAGCATTATGCTGCTATTTTACGCTAGTGAGCCGACCCATCCGTGTTACAATCATAATATACCTGCAGCGTGGCTATAACACGTGTAATTATTACATATCTGTAAAAAAATACAAAATGAGCAGGACCTAACACCATACTAAATGCGGAGGTTGAATGTGGAGTCGATTCGAATAGGCAGATATTTTAATTAATATTATTAAAAAAGGGATTAACCCTTAGGAGTGAAAATCGACCTAAAACCCAGCTTAGTAATAATTAAAATGCTACATCCGTAACCAGTATTTGATATGTATGTGTTCCAAGCAATTGCATTCTCCTCAACTTTGCGCTTTATATGAACAAAAAACTTGGACCATTCTGAAGTAACTTTAGCAATGTACATTTGCCAAGAAACTATTTGGTCATTACATTATGCGCTTCCTTGCCTACAAGCGATGGTTTACAAATATCAGTCGCTTAAAAACGTTCCATTTCTTCCAATTGACTACCATTAACAACCCACAACGTAGCAAACTCGTCGGATATAAAGCATCAAGAGTTCAATTTCTGCCACTTGACAAAGAACATCGCGTTGCGATCCATCGGCGACAATAAACCAACCGATATTGTGTCTACACAATGCCTAGTCCGGGCATAAAATCCGGGTATAAACCGGTCATAATGCCCCGGAAAAGTTAATTAAATAGGTCCGCTAACCTCGACGACATTTTTCAATTGATTCGCCAAGATTGATTGGCTGGATAATGGTTGGGGATAGCTGGTGAATGAATGAGAGGAGTCTGAACAACATAGGTATATCTTACGTAAGAGATTAAGTTAAATTAATTTCATGGAGAAAAAATTGAATGTTTGAAATTTTATAGAAACATCAGGATTTTTTCTAGAATTGTCATACTGTGTACAGCACAACGTGAGCGAATAAAATATATTATCTTGAAATTGAATATTAACATTCCTATCATTCTTATAAACGCTTTATGCAGAACTAATTGTATTTTATTATTTATTCTTTTATACGTGGTACAGTCATGCTGCAGCTATATTAGTAGTACATTTGTGACACGAATGGGTCGGCTCGACCGTGGAAGGACCACGCTCTCACAGAATATCAGCATAAAATAGCAGCTTAACACTGCTGTGCTTCGTATGGTGAGTGTAAAGAACCGGAGACCCTTTTTACTGTAAAAGAGGCATACCATCTTAGTCCTCACGGGTGACAACGCATCTGCATTTTGATTCACAAACGAGGATAGATGTAGATGTCTATGGGCCACAGCAACCACTTACCATCAGGTGGACTGTGGGTTCGTTTGTCACTCTATCCTATTAAAAAAATCTATTTATTTATGTGGCGTTATTTAGGTTAAAGTTAGTTGAAGATAATTAATTTCATAAATTTTTCGTTTTTTTCAAAAAATATAATGTTTTTTGGACAAGATACAATTTGATCACTACTGGCATTGCTCTCTATCTGTACATGATGTTTCATTACAAACAGTTTATCCATTCCGACAGTCTCGACAGTCGACAGTGTCTGCCCAGACAGCAGACAGACAAATATTCAAACAGACAGACAAACATTTTAAGTGAAATTATGCTAAAAAAGTCGTTCTTGCTGATTCTTCCCAGTACAGAGATATTTTCCGAACCAGTGGTAAATAAAAAATAACTTTCAATAAGTATTATGTAATAATCAATATTGAATAAAAATCATTCTATTCTATTCTATAATAAAAGGAGGCAGATAATTTAATATCACAGACAGGCACTTCAATTTTATTATATGTTTGTATACAGATACAATATGCTGGCCGAACGTTATTACTTATACAACATGTAACAGAAACCCTGTGGTTCCCGTTAAGTACGTTATCAGGATCAGTAATCAAAAGTAAAGAAATATTTTTTTTTAATTCGACCTAATTTTTTTTTATTTTATTATTATTTTTTTATTTTATGTGGTTTTATTACCTCTTACTGACACTAGCCGATGCTAAAGCTAAGTAAAGCGGGGTCTTTGACAATCCTCTTACTCCCCAGACAATACGTAGGTAATAAAACGACATACAATTTGCATACATTTATTTTTAAAAAAAATATTGTTCGAGTTTTTAAAAAAAATTCTAAAGGTTTGAATCATGATCCTGATAACGTATTTAACGGGAACCACAGGGTTTTTGTTAGAACATATTGTATAGATAAATATTATATAATCAACATCCTTTCTTATAATCAGATTACAAGTGGCTGATTGATCGTAAGAGTCGACCTAACTCAAGATGATCCTTTCTAATGTTGTTAGATCAATCATTCACTTTAGGTTTGCTTCAGCTGGATATTACAAGATCTAGCTCCATTATAATTGAATCATAGGATAGCCAAGAACGAATTAAATTGTAATATTACTTTCTAGTAAAAATAAAGATTAAAATAATAAA